GACATTTACCTCCCTGATGTCCCACACAAGGACACACATATGCACACGGAGAACACAACACGGCCACGTCTGAAGCTTCTGTTAGACAGCACACCGTTAATTGTGCTGCCATGAAAAGGTCTGTGTGGCTTTTAATTTGCATTCAGTCCATCAGGATCAATACGTCGCTGCTCTGGGCTACAGGCTGACATAGACCTGTATTAGGACAATACTGCGTCTGCTTCCATTAAACAGTGATTGAAGTAAAGGTTGGAGACAACGGTGCCACAGAAAAGTCGCCGAGAGGGAGGGACGAGTGTAAAAATCCCTCGTGTGAGCTTTAGCTTCTGTTTGTGTGGGTTTAATCTGACTACAGTGTTCTGGGCCGACGATCTGAGCAGTGACAAACGTCAGTGTGCTGCCCTCAACAGTTTTTGATCCAGGACAGCACTGTAGCGCATGTCCACCCAGCATGCACCGGAAAAGTTTCATTTGCACTATGATGGTGGTATGTAGGAGAAGGTCACATCAGGCTGTGCTGCAACACAACCAGTCTAACTATGGCCTTGAAACTGATTGTGCGCTGTTATGTAGTGATAGAGAATAGTGGGCGGAGCTTCTTTGATGCCTCACAATGTCCAAAGAAGAATCTGTGTATGACAGCAGGAGTGACACTGGCTCACAGGAGCAGTTAATATGAACACCTGATAAACACCTGTAGCTCTCGTGGAGCACACCGGAGCTCGGACGCTCTCGTGACGCACGTTAACATGTTGTTGTTGTTTTAGGCTCTTTCCAAACACAGTCAAGTGGAAGCTGCAGACGTTTTCATCACTTTTAGAGGAAAACAAATGTATATATTAACAGAAATTAGGCCCATGTTTGCCTCACAATGCTTGCTGTGTCTGCGGTGGTCCTGCCTTGTTTAGCATGCCACCCAATCACCACCACCCTCTCCTCCCTCGTCATGCATAGCTGGGCTGGTGGGTGTAAAAATAGCTGGGTTGGAGGGGTGGAGTACGAGGGGTTGTTAGTCAATGCTCATTGAGTTGGATGCTTTAATGAGGAAACAGTAGCTCTCTGCTGCCTGCACTTACAGGCGTCCAGTCAAGTGGTGCAACCAGGACAGGACCTCGTCCCTGCTGTATGGTAGCCTGTAAGCTTTTAGGGGAGGGGGAGGAGGGACGGGGAGGGGATTATCAAAGTGATTAACTCACTTAGAGTCCTTTACATTCTGATGAAAGACACTTATATAAGTTGAACCATGGGCAACACAGCCGTGTGTAAGGTGTGCGGCTCAGACAAGGGCCTGAGGACGGCTGGGAGCCCGGCTCACCTGGACCTGGACTTCTACTGCATGGAGCACTTTCCTGTGCAGCGTCCTCTGATCCTGGTAAGAGCTCACATTCAAAGCACACTCTGTGTTTGCCTTTGAGTTGGATGTAAACAGATATGGACAGATATGTGTCTCTGTTGGTGTGGACATGGTTGGCGCTCTCTTCAAAGGCCGGTGTGACATTTGTGTTCATAAAGTGTCCCGGCACAGCAGCATGTGGGCTCATGTATCTCATTTGAAAAGCAATGTAATCACTTCAGCAGCTGTTGGGAACACAAGACCAGAAAATATCACTTCTTCAGTCTGGGGTCAGTTTTAGTGCGTGAACGTTTGCTGTGTCAGTGAAACAGTTTGTTTGTGTCTTCATTGAGTGACTCGTGCAGTAAGTGCGTCTCAAAGGGCTTTGCAGCGCTCTAACACAGAGGTGGAAACATGGATGCGCTCTGGTTCCTAATGTGTTTGCTGACAGTGGAAGTTTGGATCGAATCATCAAAGGCTCAGCTGTGAGTAGGTGACTACACAAGTCCTCGGAGCTCTTTGTTTGAAAGCTAAACCCTCAGACTGAGATCAGCTGAGTTGCTATAAACACACGGTTCCTAATATTTTCACCCCTGTCGATCCTCCTGCTGTTCTCAGCATCAGGTTTCATGTTATGATTCAGGTCATCACTCCGGTATGACCTTACACTGACCCTTTCCTCCAGGAGCACAAGTGGAACATTCCCACTGGTCCTGCTCAGTGTGGGTCGAGGGTTCGGTTTTCCTCAGGTTTGTCGCAGAGCAAAGGAATATTTGTCTGACAGAACTACAGCAGCAACTTTATGCTCGCGTGGAACCATTTTGGTCATTTTTATATTTATTTGGCAAATTCTGGTCAGTTTCTCAAACAGCTGCAGGCGCCAACTCAACTGAACACCACTCAGCTGTTCGTCCACACCTGAAGGAGACGGACACTCTTTCCACCATGGAAATCATAATGAATCTATCCAGTCAACACCTCCACTCTGCAGGCTTTTAGCATCTTTGAGGGCCTTGTTTTGGTTTGTTTGGCTTCGACGCTGCTCTCTACTTTCTGTTTGTCTCATAAATGTGTTTTCCTGTGTCTGTGACACACGTCCTGTTTTTAGACGTGGACAGCTCGGTGTCTCGACCTGTGAACTTTGGCCTCCTCTTACTCTGCCATGTTGCAGTCCAGTGCTTGAAAGGTCCTACCACGTCCTCCTGCTGCTTTAGCAAAGAGCGGTTTATGCTCCAGGTCCTGCATTGGTGATCCGGATGTTAACACGTGTAGGCAAAGATTTGATTGGCTGGAAACAGTCGTGTTCAGTTCAGCCACCATTAATCATGATACTGATGAAACATCAGACTGATGACTGTGTCAGGATGTAATGCCGGTCCGTTTATGCCAACTCGACCACCACCAGGTGTTGTTGTGTCAGCGGCACAAACAGAGCAGCACCAGGGTGAGGTGCCGTTGCTAATAAACACAGATACTGTTGTTCCATCCAGCTAGAAATAGAATTTGTTTCTTAGTTGCTGTCTCCACTGTGTCAAGTTCGCGTCTCTGTGTGATACTTCCTGTTTTACTTTGAAGGTCCGTGTCTTATGTGAGTGTGTCCTGCTTTGCTTGTCTCGTCAGTCCTGATTTCTCCCAGCTGTGCTCTCCTTCTGTGTCTCATCCCCCTCGTTACTCCCCAGTGTATTTAAACCCTGTGTTTCTCTGAGTCAGTGTCGTGTTGTCCCTCTTGCTGTGTGTGAGTCTCCCTATGTCTTCTGGTATGTGTTATAATTAGCATTTCCCAGTTTAGTTTTGTATTGCTTGTGTTCTGTTTTCCAGCAATAAAGCTGTGCTTTTGAGTTCAAGTTCTGTCCCCGTGAGTTTGCGTTTGGGTCCAATCCCTGCCTGCCACACAGCGTTTCATGACAGTTTTATTTGTCAGTGCCTAACTTTAGTGTTAACATAATCAGTTCTCACACATGAAGGCCAAACTCGTTATTGGATTTTTAAAGAGTAGTAAAAATGTCTAGTTTTCAGCTGCCATTTAGTTAGTTTGAGGGTCCAAAGTGAATCAGCAGGGCTTGGAAAACGAGCTGTGCAGCCACAGTTTGAAGGAATCACCACAAATAACGTTTCTAAGAGAACAGGATGAGTTAGCGAGCGTCGTGTAATGTTCAACATTTAGAAATCGTTCAAAAGGAAGCAAGTGTTTTTGGCTTCATCTGAAACAGCCTCGTCACTATGGTTACCACGTCACTATGCTTGTCTCCATGGTAACTGGAAGGGGTATGGATGCTCCCAGCCTTAGCACGAGCAGCTCACAGTATTCGTGTTGGGGACAGTTTGCATTGTTGAGCTCCTGGCACTCTGCAGGTGCTGGTGCATGAGCACGAACAGCCTCATGATGTCATGAAGACACGAGCGTCAGTGAGAACAGACACGGTGTCGGTGATGTTGTCACAGACAGCAGCTTCATGCAGCTGCAGCTTGTGTCTGTGCTCCTACCACGAGTTCAGTTTTCGAAGGACGACGGCTGCTGCAGTTCCCACCTTTCTCCAGCGTTTCTCATTCAAAGCCTCGCTCGTCTGAAGGTCCTGTTGGTCTTCATGTCGCCATAGCAACCAGCCAGCGGCAGAGATGATTAGGGCATGATGTGTGTCGGCAGCCCGACATGAGGATGCTATCAGGCTTCACTGTGCGAACATGAAGACGCGTATCTAAGCTTCTCTTTACTGTGCTTTTATTCAGAAAATTAAACTGGGAAAGAAATCTGCGATATTACAGCAACACAGATTTAAGTGTTAACAATATATTTTACAGTGATATATCATTTTATTAGTGATAGATAGTAAGTTGCTTTAATTTCCCTGTGGTAGAGAGAATCTCTGGGTCGTATATACTAATGAATATTTGATTTGATGAATTCGGGACTAGTCCTAGATCGGACGCCAGCACGGCGTGGGGAGAGAAAGTGATGCAGTGCAGTTCCCTGCAGTAGCCAGGTGGTAGTTGACTGCAGGTGGAAACATCAAGGCTGTGTCTGAAGCGGGTATCACTGCTGCAGTGCTCTCTGTGCTTCACTTGTCTATGCACATGAACGGCTGTCATTCAAATTCTTTGGCAAACTTTGATGGCTAACAATAGATCCTCCTCCTGAAAACAAGCAGTGTTAGAGAAACAGCAGTGTTGGTGCTGCATTTGACCCCTGAACTCCTCTAACACAATCTGAGTGCAGCAAACATCAGCAGTGTTTTTCTGCAGCAGGAGCAGAGAGCTTGATTTAACTTTGGTGGAGGAAAATGCTGAATCACTCCTCACAGTGCTGGTCTGTTTCCAACTGCATCAGCATCCAAGAACAGGGAATGTCCTTCACAGCAGGGACGTTTCTGCGCACTGAGGAAGATCAGGGGTGCAAATGCACCGATGATACTTTGTGCAGTGTGATTTTTGGCACTAATAATTTAGACTTCTTATGGAAAACGTGAAATAGATCATTGCTATTGATGAAGGCACAAAAGCCTTTTGCAGACTAGGTGTGTTTCTTTAAATGCAAACATAATTACTGAAGGATGGCGTTCCAGGGGCCTCGTGTCGTCATTAGACATGAACAGGAGTCTGTGTGCGATGTTCTCAGGCAGCCAATCAAGTATGTGCTTTGTAAAGTGTGCTTCTTCTCTGTTTCTTCCAGTCGGACAGTAACACAAGTTTCCTGCGAGCAGCCAGAGCGGGGAACGTTGACAAGGTTTTGGAATACCTGAAAGGGGGCGTGGACATCAGTACCTGCAATCAGGTAGGAAAACGCAGACACATCCACACAAGCAGATCTGCTGTCTATCTACACCAATGGCTGCACAGTGTGGACAAAAAAGAACATCCATCAGGCTTTTGCCTTGGTGCATGCTGGGTAGTTTTTACTTTTTGTCCAACTGCCAATATATTAGGGATGCACCGATACCGATACGTGCATCCCTAATATATTGATTGTTTCTACTGAATTGGTGTTTCTGATCGATTTGGCTTCTCTGTAAGAATTAAAAATGGCAAGAGTCTGTAAGCTTAAGCACAAAACTTCACCAAGTAGCTTCTGTGGGCTCTAAACACAATCAGAATTTCAGCAGCGCTGACGTCAGAGAGCAGGAGACAGTTTCATAGTTGTTGTGGTACCAATCAGGCAGACAGAGCTCTTTGTTTCTGTCAGGTGAGACCCTTTTGACTCCTCTGCCGCGGCTCGTAGGTCACACATATTTACCTGTTTACCAAATAAACAATGTAAATTTGGCCCACTGTCACAGGAAACCGTGTCAGTGGTGACTCACAACCACTGCCCCGCCCCACAACAGTGATCCTGAAACTGTTGTTATGTAAGCTTGGAGCGAGTTAGCATGTTGTCCCTTATCTTTGCATTTCAAAATCCACTGGCCACGCCCCTTTTTATACATTGTCTGGTTCCAGGTGTTACCTGCCATGTGCAGCTCATTAGGTTGAAAAGGTGACGCGTATGTTTTAAAGGTGTTTGCTGCCTTTCTCTCCCACATACGAGGCCCCCTGCTGCCTGTGTCGTCTCAGCACTGTTGGTGATGCGTTGGACAAACAAGCAAAAATAATGAGCCCAGTGCTTGTTGTTATTGTTTACTACACATGAATCCTTCTTGGGTTGTTCCAAAGCAGGTTGTGATAATCCTTCTTCTGTTATTGTATAATCAAATAATGTCCCTTCAATCCTGCGAGGGAGAAGTTTGATCCGAGGGAAGTGCTTTATTTAGCTGCTCTCATGTATCAGGATTCCAGCCGTGGATGAGACACTGAAAGCTGATAGGACGTAAACGGCCCTGCCCTGGCAACGGTCATAATGAGCAACACAGTAAACAGAAGTCACACGAAATGGAAGATTGGCTGGTGTCCATGTTGTGTGAAGATGTTTGGCGTGACGTTGGCGTGGATCACTTTGACATTTGACATTACACTGTGTCTCTCTCGTAGCGTGTGCTGCTGCTGCTGTCAAGAACTTAACTGAGTGGCAAAGGCCAAACGCAGCTTCAATGTTCTGAAGTAAACACACAAAACTAAACATCAGTCAAATGTGAACATCTCTGTATCCATGTCAAGAGACATGCAGCAAATGCTCGTCTCTTGCTTTCTACAAACGAGTCATTGATCCAGCATCAAACACTGAACCGTGCTGCTGAATCACTGTCTGCTCCTCACACTGTGGATGTGTCACTGTGTAAAACCTTGTAGATTGTGTGATTTTTGGCGTCACAAACCTTGGATTTGATGAACTGAAAGGTTCTGGGCGCTCGCTGCTGTGACTAGCCGACTATGAGCAGAAGCTCAGGGTTGGACCTCGATAAAGTTTACGGCTGATTTTTGCCAATTCTGCAGTCAAATGTGAACATTCAGAGGATTTGGCACAGTTTCATTTTCCAACAAACCCTCCAGGAAGTATCACCCAACATAAAGTTATAAAAGTTTTTGCATATTTCAGTTGCTGTGGACAAAACGAGGCGAGAGATGTTAGTGATGGAGAAGTGGGTGGAGCAGTCATGGAGCAGGACAAAGGGTGGGTGGGTGTAACCGGAAGAAAGGGCTCTCTGAGGTCATGGGCTGGTGTAACATCAGCAGATGCTCAACATAAGTGCAAAAAGAAGCGAGCAGATGCAATTAAATGTTTTTACACAGGAGATTATCAACTCAGAGAACTGTTTTCTATTTGACATCCTTTGTTATTGTCCTTTGGGCAAAAGTAACCGAAAACCCTTCATCTCTGCAATCTGATTGGCCACGCGTCTTAAAAAAGGAAAAGCTGTTGGCTGTCTACCTGCATACGTTCGTATTTGTTTGAGACAAGTGATTCAAAAACAGCAGGACTAAAGCTGAAATGCATATTCCTCTCTGTGACTTAACCAGCTGTGGAAAACCTATATAACCTTGTATAGGGGGTCCCAGATGGCCATTAGCTTCAGGGGGCTATCTGATGATAGGGGTGGGGGTGAAAATGGAGTGGTTATTGTTAGACTTTCAGAAAAATGTTTACAAAGTTTACAGTGGGGTTTTTACCTGGTGGACTAGAGCAGCGGTCCCCAACTCCCGGGCCTCGGACCGGTACCGGTCCGTGAGTTGTTTGGTACCGGGCTCAGGTGTGAAATGTCTGGTTTTCAGGGGTTTTTCAGCGTTATTTTGTTATCGTTTTTATCGTTAACTCGGTTTTCCTGGGTCTTTTCACATGTGTTATGAATAAATCTTCTTTTTTTCAGTACCGGTACTAGTTTTATTTTGTTGTATTTATCCGTGACACCTTAAAGGCCGGTCCCTGAAAATATTGTCGGGCATAAACCGGTCCATGGCGCAAAAAAGGTTGGAGACCGCTGGACTAGAGAGTTGGTCCCTGTGCCTTTGGGTCAGGGAGAGTACCCGGCCTTCATAGCCTCTGGTTGGGATGCTCAAGGGAGGATGATCCATCTTACTGAGAGCCTTCAGTCCTCACATGGGCAGCAACACCGGAGGAGCTGGTGACCTGGAGGGTGTGATTGGGAGGAATGGCCTGCTTGTTCAGAGCCCGGGTGGGTCCCAGCCGGCAAAGCGAAAGCAGCTCGAGCAGAAGTTGAAGCAGGAGGTCAGTGAGGCCACTGAAGAAGACTTTCAGACTTCCTCACAATGGAAACTGTCAGGCTGATCAGGAGGGAAAGCACTGGTCACATGCTGTGTAACGGGGTGCTGCTGACTTCAGGTGGATATCGTCTGGTGGTGGAAGGAATACTTAGGAATACGTTTTTCATCTGTGTCTGTGGACACCTTTAACAAAGGGGGAGCGGAGGTTGGGGGGGTCTCACGCCTCAGCCTCCTTGGGAAGGTCTGACCCAGCGCTTTGGACAGGGGAGTTAGCTCATTGGTCAAAGCGTCAGGAGGAACATGGAGGTTTTGGTCCTGGAACCGTGGACCAGCTCTTTACTCTGTGGAGGATATTCAAGCGTGCTGAGGAATGACGTGTGCGTTTGTTTTGTAGAGTTAGAGCATTGGACCATGTCCCACGGTGTGGTGGGTGCTTTGGGAGTATGAGCTGTTTGGTCCCTGTAACCATCGTCAACACACTGAAGGGACACAACCTCATTACATTTCAGTGCCCTCCAAAGGTGTGTTTAGTCTGCTCTGGTGCTCCTCAAACCAGCTTTCCTTTACCTGTAAGTCCCTCAAGAGAATTTGGATTCAGCTCTGAGCACCTCCCTGTGTTAACACTTAGTGGTGGCAAACATTTTGAATAGCAGACACCAGGATCACTGATGCTCGGGTTATTGGCTCTCACATAGGCCAACGTAACTGCAGAAACTGTATCCACGTATTCATGTTCACATTAGACACGTATGGCTCAGCTCAGGTCTGGACTCGAACTATGAAGTGCTGCAGGTTGTTTGGTCCATCGATGCGATGCAGTCGGAGCTTTATGTTTATAGAAAGCTCTGGTGTTTAAGACACTGTGGAAGTTTCCTCAGCAAGAGTCAGAGTGTGTAACATGCTGTGTTTATATCATGAGCATTTCTGTAAGTGAACATGATGATGAACACAATGAACCTTGTGTCACTTTCTAATCCTTAGTTTCGATGGTCTCCCACGTTTGTCCCACTAGTTTTGTTGAGTCATTGCACAGCTGCTCCACTCGTGCACTCGTGCACTCGTGCACTCCAGATATTAACAGAAGTGATTTACAAGGTGAAACGTAATCTAAGAATATATATCTACAGTTTCCATCACAAACCAGTATTAATACAGTAACACCTACAACTTAAAAACACGCACACACAACTATTTTTAACTTTGTACCCAGAGCTGGACCTGATCCACATCAGCATAACATGGCTCAACATCTAATCCAACTGTATGAGTCAGCCAGTCCATGTGAGGCTGAAGCCTTTCACACTTTCAAACGATGGACGCAGAGACAGAAAGGCAGGCACCCTCAGTGGGGGACCTAGACGAGGAGGTAGTACCTTCTGTTTCCCTTTGGAAGCGTGTCTCTTTGTTGTCCCCGGGTCTTCACGTCTGACGTCTTTTTTCCAGAATGGTCTTAATGCGTTGCACCTGGCAGCCAAGGAGGGGCACATAGATCTGGTCCAGGAGTTGCTGGACAGGGGTGCGGCGGTGGACTCAGCCACAAAGGTAAGCTCATTTCACACATACAGAGAGTCTCAGTGGAGTTTGTATTGTTGGCTGGAGGGTTTTTAGCAGCGTGTGTATGTAAAGCTATAAGTAAAGCTATCCTATCTTATTCATAGCCTTTTCCTTTTTTGTTCTCTTTAGGTCACGAGCAGTTGTCCAAGCATTTCACTACATATCGTACTGTGTATGTACGTGACAAATAAAATTTGAATTTGAATTTGAATTTGAAGCTAACATCTTAACACATTACTTGGAGAAGGTCATATAATAAATAATCAGTAGGTTGACTCGAGTAAACAAAGAAGTAAACACAAAGTTAACTTTACATAACCAATGAAAGTGTGAGTCATGTGGGTCCTGGGCTAGACCCACGTGTGTTAAAGTGTTGTGAACACCACATGCAGGATTTACAGCGCCTCAACCATCCTCGACCTACAGCTTCGTGACCTTTGAACTTTTCTCTGGGGTCTGACACCCTGCACTGAAACTTTAAGCCTGGAAGGCATTGAGCCCACAGACCCCCCACTGAACAGGCTTTCAGTCTTTGTACACAGCTGTAACGTCTCTGCTCCACAGTGAGTGTGTGAGCGTGTGTGTTTGAGGGTAAAATAAGGAGAATCTGTGTTTTTGAAATGAGAAATGTTTTAAAGAAAAATGAATGTAAAGTTGTGATTCGTGAACATGTGATTGATTGGACAGCAGAGAAAGTGCAAACATGGTTTCTGAACTCTGTCAGTGCTACAGTGTAGCTGATGATCACATGATGTGAGGTCATCATTCACCGTGGTCCATGCTGTGTTATCAGGATCAGATTACTCTCAGATATATTCATAGATTTTTACCTGCTTATATTTATTCATGAAGTAATCAGATCTGAAGCAGCAGTGAATTAAATACTGTGCTTATTTGTATCTCAGTGCACATGACAGACTAGACATAACTGTAAAGGACACAACAGCATTCAGTCAGGAGCACTCTGAGCTTATTTTTACAAAGACATGCAGATAGTTGTCTAATAATCTTGTTATGGTTTGTGTTTGATTCCAGAAAGGAAACACAGCGCTCCACATATCCTCTCTGGCTGGCCAGGCTGACGTGGTGAAGATCCTGAGCAAACGTGGTGCTGATATCAACGCACAGTCTCAGGTGAGCCTCGACGCTGAGGCCGTGTAATCCTCCTGAAAGTTACTCTGCCGCTCATCACTGTTAGATAGTCAGCTGTGGTGTAACTGTTCCTTGTGTTTACCCGTTTTGTCATATGCTTGGTTCTTTGTGTTAACAGAATGGATTCACTCCTTTGTACATGGCTGCCCAAGAAAATCACCTGGATGTGGTGAGATACCTGCTTGAGAATGGAGGCAACCAGAGCATTGCTACAGAGGTAAGACGAGTGTGTTTAGATTATGCAGTAATCTAAACAACATTAATGTGATGTTTCCACTGATTTGATCACTTTTTAACTTTCTGCTGTTCCACATGAAGAAAGAAACCTCAAGTCTCTCAGTGAGAATCATACGTCTCCTCTTAGGCTTTCAAAGTGTTCGTGGAACCAAGCGTTGATACATGATAAATACATTTCAGGAAGATGAATTTGAATGCAGGTCATATCATTTCAAATAATTTTATTTATACAGCACCAAATCACAACAACAGTTGCCTCAAGGTGCTTTATACTGTAAGGTCGACCCTACAATAATACATACAGAGAAAACCCAACAATCATATGACCCCCTATGAGCAGCACTTTGGTGACAGTGGGAAGGAAAAACTCCCTTTTAACAGGAAGAACCAGGCTCAGGGAGGGGCGGGGCCATCTGCTGTGATTGGTTGGGGTGAACCCCGGCCAAAATAATAAACAAAACCAACGAAGTCCCGCCACAGAAAACTAGCTAAACCCTAAGAAAGAAACAATGACAATAGCTACCCCTCGCGTCGTAGCCCAGAAACAGGAGCAAACAGTTCAAAAGAAAAGGCGGCTCACCGCTTCAGCCTGTGCACGCACAGGCACTGGACTGCACACGTTTGGCGGCTCTCAAGCAGCACGCCTACACATACACAACACAAAGAATTTGGAAGCCAGGTCCAGGTCTGAGTCTCTCTCCTGGCAGCTGTCAGAGCAGCTTTTTGAACCCAGTCACGTGCTCCATGGTCCAATCAGCAGCCCACTGCTCTTCATTAGAGGAAGGACCTGCAGAGATTCTTAAAACACAGGAAAGAGACACAGCACAGCAGCTAATACAGATTTGCTATGGCCACGGGCCGTAACAGATTCCAGTGTTAATGCCACCTCTCCTGGATTTATGAGAATCATAACTCTTAATCAGCACATCACTGCATCCAGCTAGTTTAAAACACTGTGTGTAAATTTTACCTGAAAACACAAGAACTGGCAGGTGGGCTGCTGGTGTCCCATCGTCTTCAAAGATGAGACCAGGTTCACACTAACACGAGCGAGTCTGGTGACAGCAAATGTTATCGTGCTTCAACATCACCCATCAAGACAGTTTGCCAGTGATGGCTGAGGAGGCGTATCTTTGCCAGCTGGTGCATAGTGCTGGAGACATGTGCATCAGTTCATTTTTGAGGAACATGTCCCATCTCAGGATATTTCTTAATTCCAACTGCCGGGAGTCACGCCGTCCAGGAGGAGCTGGTCCACCTGTGCAGCTGAAATTTGATTCAGGTGTAATGTCAGTGTTCCTGTGCCTGGATGAGGACATTAGCGAAATGGTCACCACCTGCACAACCCTCACTTTTGTAGGACTGACTTGTCATTTACACCGGAGCAGGTGAAACGGACTCATAATCACTTCATCTTCCTAACTGGACAGACTGAAGTTTAAATGCCTTTAATTTTCTTGAGCAGTGTATTTTAAACTTTTATTTTAAATGAGATGTAACCGGTCGTCCGTCTGCCTTCTTCTAGGATGGCTTCACCCCTTTGGCCATCGCGCTCCAGCAGGGCCACAACCAGGTTGTGTCTGTCTTATTAGAAAATGATACGAAAGGCAAGGTGCGCCTGCCTGCCTTGCACATTGCAGCTCGTAAAGACGACACCAAATCAGCAGCCCTGCTCCTCCAGAACGACCACAACGCCGATGTCCAGTCGAAGGTATGGCCATGCAGTATTTTGGCTAAGTGTTGGCATGTGCAGAAGTCCAGTGAGTGTGGTGATCTGTGTTTGTGCAGATCTGTGGTTATTTGTAGCTCCATGAAGGTGACAGTGTAACAGTGGTTCTAGCTTTCCAACACGAGGTTTGAACCTGTTCTTCAGTTATCCTGCTGAGACGCCTCATTATATCCTCTCTGTATAATCACAGGGGCCTGTTTCTTCTGTCATAGTCCCAAATAGATGAGTAGGTGGGAATGTGGCAGATTCATCAAGGCGAGTGGAATAATGCAGATGTGTGATGTGTGGGATCGACGGGCATTACTGCAGAGAATAACTGAAGAGAGGCTTGAACCCACGGCAGTGATGCTCCTACCTACCTGGGGTCCTGATGATGACCCACAGCGTGCTTCTTGTTCCCAACAGCAATGATAATTCTTCCCATAACAGTGAAATGTTTCTGCTTGTTAGTGCGATGGTGCTCACCTCCAGTACGAGGCCTGGTGTGTAAACAGGATCCACGCTGAAGTTAAACAGTGATTATTAAAGTTAATATTACCAGTGGATCAGATCAAGGCTGAAGGTGGGAAATGTTTTTGACCACCGAGACGTTAGTGACCAGATTGTGTCCTCAGTGACTCTGAGTCGTGTAACAGAGCCGTCTTCACCTAGATTCAAAGGTCAGGAAAGCCCAGAGAAACAATATCTGCACATTATCACACTGATCACTCTAGGACAGATATCTATTCCACCATTGACAGACAGCGTCTTTGTCGTGATATTTGCAGTAAAGCTGCATAAATATGTCTCAGATGTTTGTGTTTGCATCAGTGTGTCTCTCTGTCCTCTGTCTCATTCAGTGTCTCTGTGCTTCACACGTCACTAACTGGCTCTCTCCCTTTTTCCCCTCTCTCTGTTTAAATACCGCCTCTCGCACTCTTCCTCTCGTCACCACCCTCCTCGCTGCACCGGTGTCTAAGCGTAGCACTGTCCACTGCATGGAGTGTGCCACTGTCTGCAGGTTGTACGGTGGTCGTATCTAAGATTGCATGCACACGGTGGTCTGACCATCAGCGAGAGATTGGAAGGGTTAAAGTGTCCGTTTAATATTGATGGGAATCACTGTTGTGGCTGGATCTCGAGTTCATAGTTACGACTGTTCCTCTGATGCCGGCTGGCAGCTTGAAGTGACGTGGCTGGAGTGAAAATGATCTTTCCATATATCAGCGAAACATCAGTGATTTTCTTATGTAACAACACTATAGAGTCTATTTAGGCTCCACGCACACATCTACTAAACTGTGCTTCTGCTGCTGGGATGCAGCCATGTTGAACATGAGTCATAAAGAAGAGAGTAGCTCGAGTAGTTACAGTTACTCGGATACTGAAAAACACAACACGATGATCATGTATGTAGTTATTACTAAATATGCTATGAAAACGAAGTGAAATGTTCTCAATAACAGAAAGCGGTGCATTATTTTTATACAGTAACGCCTTTTACTGTGATCTCAGCACAACTGTATGATCTGGGCAGCAATACAACAATGTGATCTTGTATAGAATATTATATGTCTTATATATATAACATTGTAATGGGGTTAGGTGTAAAAAATGCTAATGCTAAGCTAGCCCAATGCTAAACTACCACCACAGGAAACAGTAGGAAGTCACTTCCCTTTACTTCAGGAAGCACGTCAGAAAAGTTAGCAAAAATGCTAATGCTAAGCTAGCCCAATGCTAAGCTACCACCACAGGAAACAGTAGGAAGTCACTTCCCTTTACTTCAGGAAGAACGTCAGAAAAGTTAGCAAAAATGCTAATGCTAAGCTAGCCCAATGCTAAGCTACCACCACAGGAAACAGTAGGAAGTCACTTCCCTTTACTTCAGGAAGAACGTCAGAAAAGTTAGCAAAAATGCTAATGCTAAGCTAGCCCAATGCTAAGCTAGCTCAATGCTAGCGATGAGAGTAATATTGTAATATAATAGGAGCTGAAAGCAAACTTGTTAGTTCAGAGGCAACAACAGGCTGAGGATTGACTTACTGACCCAGAACGCTTCCCGAAACTTTGTCCGGGGTCAGACTGGGCGACCCGATAGGGGGCAGCACGGTGCCTTTCCTGTCTCCCAACCCTTTCCTCAGTCATTAAAGTCTTTAAACTATGAAAACATCGTATTAATTCCAGGTGGTTCACAGAATTTGTGCTTTATTAAAGAAGTAGTCAAAGAAGAAACGGATCATTTAGCTATTTGACGCTACAGTGAGCCACGACACAAACGAGAGCGCTGTCAGTTCTGACAGGACTGAGCAGCTCCAGCCACGTCCTCTGTAGTCTGCACAGCTGAGCTAATGTCTGTGACGCAGCCTAACTGAACTGATCTTTCCCTCCCCCATCCTGCTACAGATGATGGTCAATAGGACTACTGAGGTATACACACACTCCTTAACTCTCCACAGGCTCACACAGTCCCATCCTTTTGTCATTTCCTTTGTTATCACTGCCTTTATTTCTCTCACTTCCACAGCTGGTGTACATGATATCATTTGGTCCATTCTGTGTGTTTCAGTTGATTTGATATTAATAATAAGAGGCCACCGTGCATGGCTGAGAGGAATGGCCAACCACTGCTGCTTATCTCTGAGGTTTTAGTTTGATTTTTCACCCGAGTCTGTTTGATTTCTTTGATCATCAGCTCAGGATCACCCTTCGGTTTTCCTCCCCCGTGTGGCCCTAATACATTCAGACTGACTCTAAAAACTGAACTGTTGTTTTTTAATGACTGTGTTTACTTTCTGTAAGCTTCGATTATGAATGTGTGTGATGTGCACCGTCTCTTAGTCTGTAATTCTGCCTCTTTTTGTGTTGCATGTTTTAGAAATGCACTCTGAGCAGCAGCTTAAAGTATTGTTTACAAACTGATAATATTACAAAGCCCGTCCATATAAGATAACACACTGCACTACAAGAAGTAAGACAAGCTATAATACATCGCTGCTTAAGTATGGAAGGCCAGTGAAGACGAGCAACGCTGACATCTTTTCATGTCTTTAACATCCGGGACATACGAGTGATGGTTGAAACAGACGATTCAACATCAGTAGCTTTCCATGTTAAACTGGGCGGACGATGCATCACCACGATCACAAGAACAAACTGTGTCACATCAGAAACCCGAGAAAGATTCAGACACTGATGTTATGATAAATGTCACGTTCAGCTTTAAAAATGCAGCTTGCAGAAGGAGGAACAAACAAACAAATAAAAAACAATAATTCCTCTTATTGGACACACGATGAGCACTCAAAGGCAAACATGCACTGTGTTTCTTCCACCCATGGTCTTCCACACTTTGCAGCTTCTATAACATTTCTTTTAGAGTGCATGCGTTTCTTTAAAGAACCTTCCAGTCGATGCAAAAATAATCTGTAAACAGTGCAGCTCAGCAACAGCATGGGAAGCTTGTGAAGCTCATAATATAACTGTATAAAGCTAATATGTTAGCACAGACGAGCATGTTGCATCCATGCTTCCTTAATTTGCAGCTAAGCTTCTGACTGTAAACTTTTGAACCATCTCGTTAGTCACTGTGTTCTTCACGCTTCTGTAAACACCTTTTTCACATTAAATCGGACCAACACTAACAGAATGGAAAGGTAAGGCAAGAACTCCTCCAACCTACTCTGAAATCCTTTTTGCTAACAACAGCTAACATAGTGCACTTTGGTGTTGATGGGGACCTGTGTGGTTTACTGACAGTGTTGTCTGTGTCCGTCTGGATGACAGTCTGCGTCTGCTCTGTGCTGATTTCTTTGATCTTTTTTCATTTCACTCGTGTTAAAAGCATTTGTTGGTCTCTTTACACAGTTTGCATGGACGTGATGTGTGTTTGGGGTTGTGTGTAGATGCTCTGACTTTCATATTAGTACCAGTGAATATACATGATTATTTTAAGTCAGATTTTCATCGTCCTTGATTTTAATTTACTTCTTTTACTCTTGATGCAACTTTTGCATGCTGGGAAGACTAAAGGTCAAAGTTGACATGACGGTGAAGCTAATGTGTGTGCTCTGTCCTGCTGTGTGTGTGTCTGCATCTTTCTGTCCTGCAGAGTGGATTCACCCCCCTGCACATTGCTGCCCACTATGGGAACGTGAATGTGGCCACGCTCCTGCTGAACCGAGGGGCAGCGGTTGACTTCACAGCGAGGGTACGAAACAACCCTAATAACTTATTTGGGTCTGAACTGTATGAGTGTAAGCTGGAGACTGTAAACAAGCTTTAGTGGACAGGATGAAAACATGTCAGTGGGTAACTCTACAGCCACAACAGAGTTCAGTCAGTGATGACTGTCCACGACTGACTCAGCTCAGTGTTGTGCTGGTTCTGTATCCACATATATACAAATATATTAGGGGTGCAACGATACACAAAATTCACGGTTCGGTTCGATACTTTGGTGTCACGGTTCGATATTTTTTCGATACAAAAAAATGTTCATGCCTTTTTAATTTGTCAGTTATTAAAATTATAAATATATATTTTAACTCAAAAGTACAGTTTTTAAATTTAATGTTGCTGAAACAACAAAGTAATAAAAAATAAATAAATCTATCTGATGGAGGAATCCCTCATCTTTGGAAAAGAGAGTTTATTACAGAGAAATGTCTCTTTCAAAATAAAAGCTCTACTATATGCTTCTTCTGGGCTATATTCTCAGCAGCATATTAAACATATCAGGTCCCCATAAGGAGAATCCTGTGCTAACGGCTATAAATGACTCGGGTAAAGTTTGTAGCATGTGTGCTTGTTGTTTTTGTCTGCTTCCACTTGTCTTTGCACTAGGATGATGTCGGAGTAAATGTGCAGTCATATTCGTTGTGTTCCCACTAGTGCTGTCAGCGTTAATCTGAAATGACCTTAACGCCACAACACGGCAAATCTCCGTTAACGAGCTACCGCGGATCGCCCCGTGCGTGGGGCTGGACGGCCAACACGTTAACGAGCTAACTGCGCTAACACACTAGTTCCCACCCATGTAATTGAGCATTGCGTGGCACATCCAACATGCTGTTTTACTTTAGTCCATGACTCGCTTACCTTCAGGGTCATACGTCACATGAAAACCAAAATAGTTCCAAAGGCCAGATCTGAATGAGGGTGGGGGAGGTTCAGTTTGCCATGTTGCAACGAGCTTAGCTTCTGTCTGCTAGCTTGTCCTGCGCTCAGTGGATCTGCGTTCGACTACTCCGCCTAGGCTGCACTGTCGAGCGCAGATCCACTGAGCGCTCAACACAGACAGCATCGTCAGAAGGAAAGTTGATCATATAAATTAAAAATGTTGTATTGTTCGTACCGAACCGAAAGCACTGCATCGAACGGTTCAATATCGATACGAGTATCATTGCACCCCTAATATATAACTGACCAAAACACAGAGTTTGGTTCTTTTTAATCAATGTTCCTGCTAATGTAGTCTTACAAACCAACGTCAGTCGTCCTGGATCCTGACACGAGCCTATAAAAGCTACGACTGCACTGGGTACCACAACAACCCTCCCTCACCGTCAGGCAACAAACGCCTGTTTAAACGACGCCTTCCACAAAACACAGTCACATTTCCTGTTTTAATCATCAAAGCAGCGTGGTTGCTCACACACACATATACCAACATTTGGATTCTGAGCCGACGTGTTTAACGAGTTGTTGTTTTTGTGTGTCTTTGTCTGCAGAATGGGATCACTCCACTGCATGTGGCCTCTAAGCGTGGCAACACAAACATGGTTCGCCTGTTGTTAGACCGTGGCTCTCAGATTGATGCTAAAACGAGGGTGAGTACCTCAAACGCACACATCTAATGTAACCTGAGCTTTGGAGCTAGTTATCTTTAAACCACACTTGCACACTCCCACAGTGGTGCAACTGTTACATCCACGTAGTAACTAATGGTCGCGTGCATTGCTAACAACAGATATGATGGGGGGTTGTTTTTAGTTCATTCTGACCTGTAGGTCTGCCACTGGCATCATGATCTGTTATTTAATAAACTGCTGCTCTGTAAAGTGCAAATTAAATTTTATGATATTCTTAATGCTTTAAATTGTGTATTTACTCCAATACAGATATTCAAACCAATAAAATGATGGAACTGAGGACTTTATTTTAGTAATGTGATGCCATTTTTCAGAGAAAAATGTTAGCACTGTGTTAGTCCACTTCAGTTTTTGACTTGTTGTACATTAATGTAATGATATTACATTAATAGCTCATGGATAATGGATCCTGACATTGTCCCTCACATGCAGAGATATCTCTGTATTATCTAAATGATTTGATGATGAATATGATAAGCACTGAAACTAATCTGTTACTGTTGTTGTTGCCCATCAGTCACCCCGTGTGTCCTTAGAGAAAAACATCTGCTTGACTTGTTTTTGTCTGTGTTTCTTGCATCCTTTGTAGCCTGTGTTCATACATGACTCAAAATGTAAAATGAATAGATCCTTAGTTTGAATGTTCTAATATCTGGTATGTTTTTTAAATAAACATCAGGATGAATTGATCAGGACTGTTTCTGTTATGAAAAGTTAAGCCATCGTTGTCCTGCAGCATCCAGAGTCGATACACATTTACTGTCTTGGTTTCGTAGGACGGCCTGACTCCGCTTCACTGTGCTGCTCGGAGCGGACACGATACGGCTGTAGAGCTGCTGCTGGAGAGAGGAGCACCTTTACTGGCCAGGACCAAGGTCTCACATTCACCATCTAAAGTCATGGTTGTGTCCTGTGTAACGTGTCACTGTGGAGCTAAGGGCTCGTGATGTCTGCTGGTCACCAGCAGGAGCTTTTTCTGCGAGGTGGGAGGAAGGAGAGGTCAAAGGATAAACAAGCCCACGTGTTGTAGGGTTTTGGCACTTTCTGCATATAAAATGATGAGTTTGAGGGATTATTTTGTATAAAACACGATGAGCATGTTCAACAGATTCTCTGTCAAATACTCTGAATGCTCAACAGTAGATCTACAGATCAGTGTTTGTTACAGAAACAGCAGTGAGTCAAACTGCTGTGTTATCAATCAGAGATAAAAAAGAAACGCTGCAGCTGTTTATTTACACTTCCAGCAAACCAACAATGCATTTCACCTGCAGCTCTCCTCTGCTGAACCAACTGTCCCCTCCCACAGAATGGGCTGTCCCCTCTGCACATGGCAGCACAAGGTGACCACATTGAATGCGTCAAACACCTTCTACAGCACAAGGCTCCTGTTGATGATGTCACATTGGACTACCTGACAGCACTGCATGTGGCGGCTCACTGCGGTCACTACAGAGTCACCAAACTGCTGCTGGACAAACGGGCCAACCCTAACGCCAGGGCACTGGTAGGTCACGAAGAAAACATGGATCCACGAATGGAAAAAGGATCACAATCTGTCCACATGCACCTGGAATTCTTCTGAGGTTCACTGTGTTTGCTCCACAGAATGGCTTCACACCGCTGCACATCGCCTGTAAGAAGAACCGCGTGAAGGTGATGGAGCTGCTGGTTAAATATGGAGCTTCCATCCAGGCCATTACAGAGGTGCTTTACACATCGGAGTAATCCGACTGCAGAAATGCCTTTATTATTGCTCTCTATACGTTTAAAATATTACTATTGAAACAAATCTGTGACATTGCATACATGATACTTGAATTTGGTTACATGTAGCAAAGGTAGCAATCTAAAGTTACATCATGCTAACAGCAGCATGCTAACAGCAACATCCCACGGGTATAACTGGAGTCATAAAGTGACAAACTGACTCAGTAGTACTCATAGTAATGTAATAACATCAGGCCGAGTAGATCCTCTTGGTGTAGTGAATAGAATTAAAGGAGGCTTATTGTTATTGAACAATTTCAAATATGAACATCTCTATAGACCAGGATGGGGGAGCTGCAGGTTTAGACGTGTCCAGCTGATTTACATGACCTCCTCAACATGTGTTGAAGTTCTCCAGAGGCCTGGTAATGACCTCATCATGTGATTCAGGACTGTTGACCAGAGATGGGCAGTAACGCGTTACTGTAATCCGATTACTTTTTTCAAGTAACAAGTAAAGTAAGGGATTACTATTGCAAAAACAGTAATTAGATTACCGTTACTTTCCCGTAGGAACGCTGCGTTACTGCGTTACTAAAACCGTGATTTTTTTGCGAGAATGTCTCATGACAGTGATATAAGCGAGTGCGCCGTTAGTGACAACAGCTGTGTGCAGATCAACAATGGATCACATATCGAGTGCAGAGAGAGTATGAGCGTGCAGCGTTTAAAGCGTGGAAGTACTGACCTTACTTTGAGTTTGATTCTATAAAAAGTGACAAAAACATTAGTGTCCGCTGTGCGTGGGAAGAAAACTTCTTTTTACAGCGAAAAAAAAACCCTAAACAAGCACCGAGTAGCTACGACGTAATGGGAACCTCACAGAGAAACTCGCGGATTCTTCCACTGACCGCGGCACACCTGCACCAGGGTAAACCTCCGCCTACCCTGCTCCTGCTTTACAGGTGAAAATAGAGCAACAGGACCGCTGAGTCTTTGACTTTATTTATTTTCTGCTGTGTTTTACTTGCATCTATTTGAAAGAGTGAGTGTAAACACAAAAAATATTTTATTTTATGTGCTGGAATGTGCAGAAAATAGGTTTAAATGTTAAACTAATTTCTTCCAGTCAGAGAATGTTGCAGATAATTAAATGTTTGCTTGATGCATAAAGTTAAAAGATTAAAACTAATAAAACAAGTTTTAAAAAGAGACTTTTCCATTTGATTACATTTTGTATGATGGATTATGCAGAAAAAGTAGAATTGGGCTGAAAGATCTATCGCTCTATCACCTACTCAGGTTGTAAATCGTGTTTTTAAAAAGTAACTAAGTAATTAATTACTTTTGAAAATAAGTAATCAGTAAAGTAACGGGATTACTTTTTTGGGGAAGTAATCAGTAATTAGTTACTGATTACTTTTTTCAAGTAACTTGACCAACACTGCTGTTGACCCACGGTGAGATCTAAAACGCCTGCTATAGACAGTACTGCTGGACATAATTACAAATAGAGCAATAAGCTGATTTCTAATTGAAAAATATTGATGGTAAATTAGTCATAAAGACCAGAATTAAAGGTTTTGTTGTATCAGTTTTCCTCTTCTTTTCTAATGAAAGATAAGAATGTATTGTCCATTATGACCACCTGCAGTTGTAGCATTTAATGGCTGCATACCACACAGACATAACGCACTATATTATTCACTGATTCATCTGATGTGCGTTTCATTCTGTCCAATCATCTCTGTTGTGCTTTCTCCCGTGTTCAGTCGGGTCTGACGCCCATCCACGTAGCAGCCTTCATGGGTCACCTGAACATCGTCCTGCTCCTGCTGCAGAACGGGGCCTCGGCTGACGTCAGCAATATTGTGAGTGATGTGAAACGGGGCAAATGCAGCAATTTGTTAAGTCAGATGAACACAGCGTGACAGTGAGGTTTTCAGAATGTGCGCTGACTCGTCTGAGCCATATGTTGTCGTTTGCACAGCGTGGAGAAACAGCCTTACACATGGCAGCCCGGGCAGGTCAGGTGGAGGTTGTCAGATGTCTCCTGAGGAATGGAGCAATGGTAGATGCTCGGGCACGTGTAAGACTGCTGCAATCACATTTGCACACGTGATAAAGAATCTTTAACGTTTTCATTCTGATGGTCACTGAGCTCTTTTTCTACTGCGTGTCCTGTTTAGGAGGAGCAGACGCCCCTTCACATTGCATCCCGCCTGGGGAAAACTGAGATTGTGCAGCTGCTGTTGCAGCACATGGCCCATCCTGATGCTGCCACAACCAATGGCTACACCCCCCTCCACATTTCTGCCAGGGAGGGGCAGGTGGAGACTGCCTCGGTTCTGCTAGAGGCAGGGGCTTCACACTCACTAGCCACCAAGGTGAGTGTGGGAGAAGACTTTGGATCTCCATGGTGTGATTTAGTGCACAGAGCAGTGGAACGAACAGTTTTCAGTTCATGTAAAGCTCTAATTTCTAATTTTCAACATGGCAGCTGCAAAAAGTGAAAACATGAAAACATTCAGGGTTCCTGTCCCGCAGAAATCACCTGAAGTTCACTTTGTTCCTTCTGTAAGCTGTTTGTGTGACGCCTGTCGATGCATAAGATTCACTTTACTGTGAATCACTCATTCATATATAGAAATACAGAGAACCATGAGCTGTGTGAGTCTACTGGAAGGAGCTGTGTATGTGACAGCTATATAATGTAATAAATCAAATGCAGCGCTTTAAAATATCAACTCAGGCTCTCGGAAGTCAACAAAAAGAATAAATGAAATAATGGAAACAAATATATCACTGAAAAATCCCCAAGAACAAAACAATGAAACAATCAGACAAACAAATACAGCTTTTTTATTGCACTTATAATAAAGAGCTGAATCAAAAGAGATGTAGTTTGGCACCAAGTCGTGACAATTTGGTTCATAATTGTCTGTCTCCACACCACATATGTTAGCTGACATTAATGTTTCAAACCATTGCATCTAGCCTTTAAAAATCAGCAGGTACATGCACACATCAGCTATCAGTGTGTAGCCTGTAAACACGACCTGCCTACATTTCTGAACGTTGACTCTTATGTCTCGACCCCATGTAGTCCTCTGCTGAAGGCTGGGATAGAGAGGTGACTATAATACTGCATCTCCTGGTCTGTCTGTGGGATTCTTCTGATCAATGATTGATGAGGCAGTAAAGCTGCTACGTCCCTCTGAATTGTTCATGGAGTCTGAACACAGCTGAGTGATTTATCACCATGACTGTTTAACAGGCTGTGCAGTCAGGATCTTTACTTTGTACCCAATCCCAGACAGACCAACCTCTTAATCTATTCATATAATGAGAAGAGACAAAGCATTGTGTGAGGCTGCATTTGTCAGGCCTCAGTGCTTTTGCTCTCTCCTAGACTTCTCTCTGGGGAGCGAGGGGTGTGGCTGTCGCTGTTACAGTGTAACACAATTATAGCGCCATCCTTATAAACATCAAATTGTGCATAATTGTCCATATTTTCTCATAATATCAGTATTTTCCACAATGCAATGTAAGTAAACAAGTTAAATTTTTGTGTACCTATTAAATTGAATTCTGCTTTTAAGAGACAAAAGGCTGTTCTCTCCATGAACAGGCCTGCATCATAAACAAGCTGGTTCAGTGTGTCCTTACAGCTAAAGTGCCCCCTCTGCTGGCCTTTAAATAAAATGGACGTTCCCTGTGGGTTACCTGCAGTTGCATCAGCTTGCTACTATGAACTGTTTATAGCAGTACACAGATTTTGGCAGTAACTGAAGGTCTTTTCCTCTTATATTTTATACTGTACTTAAATACAAAGCTTAAATAATACTACGACAATAGTAGTACTAGTATGACAAAGTAAATAAAAAGAAATAATACAAAAAGTAAGAAATTTCTGTTGACTCACAATACTTAATATGTTCTAACAATATTTACAGTAATACTTTACATCTGGCAAGGTTTTAATTCGTGCAACCCACAAACTCAACTCTGCTGCTCAACACACAACTCAACTCTGCTGCTCAACATACAAACTCAACTCTGCTGCTCAACATACAAACTCAACTCTGCTGCTCAACATACAAACTCAACTCTGCTGCTCAACCACAAACTCAACTCTGCTGCTCAACACAAACTCAACTCTGCTGCTCAACACACAAACTCAACTCTGCTGCTCAACAACAAACTCAACTCTGCTGCTCAACATACAAACTCAACTCTGCTGCTCAACATACAAACTCAACTCTGCTGCTCAACACACAAACTCAACTCTGCTGCTCAACACACAAACTCAACTCTGCTGCTCAACACAAACTCAACTCTGCTGCTCAACACAAACTCAACTCTGCTGCTCAACATACAAACTCAACTCTGCTGCTCAACCACAAATGCACTCTGTTTATGAATGTGGCATGATTTTAGGGGAAAATAAAAGTAAGATGTGTTGCTAACACTGTAGCAACAAAGAAATCCTCCACCAAACACAAATGTCCTTACTTTCTGTGCAAAGTTTGTAATTAAAGCCTATCCTGTGATTTCTGAATACGGAGTTCCTGCACTTGGTGTCTTATAACAGAGTTCTTAGTGTCACTTTTTGGGTTGTCTCCTAATACAGAAAGGTTTTACTCCGCTGCATGTGGCCGCAAAGTATGGAAGCCTGGATGTAGCCAAACTTCTGCTACAGCGTCGCGCCCCTCCTGACTCTGCTGGGAAGGTATGGATCCAAACAGAAACTTGCAATCCTTAAAATTCATAGCAAGTATTGTAAAACAATGTGATTATTTTATTGAATTTCCTGTTAACTACAAGTTCACTGCAGGAATGCTGGTACGGTTTAAAAAATAACATCAGCTGTCCCTTCATTTAGACTAACCCTGACTCAAAAAGCTAACAGGTGCCTGTTCACATCAATGATCTTGTTTTTGCTCCTTCATGCACATTTTTGTGTTCATAATAAGAGCCTGGTGATGCTGTCTAATATTACTTTAACTCATCTCACCTTCTAAAGCTTCTGTCTAATCCTTCCATACCTTACAGAATGGCCTCACCTCGCTCCACGTCGCAGCACATTATGATAACCAGAATGTGGCGCTCCTGCTCTTGGACAAAGGAGCGTCACCACACACAATGGCAAAGGTGATTCAACAGAGCACAGATGTAGTATATAATAGGATTGTTCTTAGCCAGCTAGTTACAAGCTAGAGCCAGAGGGACGTCACAGCCGACGGCTCTGTCCTGTTTTTTAAAGACTGCTTTCAAAAACGTCTCTGAAGCCTCAATGATATCTGAAATTCCCTCAGGAGGAGAAGAGTGTTTGCTGCTTCAGCTGCTGATGAATCCATTACATTTGAAGCAGCAGGATAGTCTATGTGTTATTGAGCCACAATAGAGCACAGCCTGTGCATTCACACTAATGAAAGCGTGTGTGACTGACTCATATGTGAGGAGTGAGTGACAGCATCAGCATACATTCACTGCCAAACTCTCTGATAAACAGCCGTCTTAAAAGTAAAAATGATATTCAACATTTGCTGACCAGCAACTCTCGCGTGTGTCCTGCACCAATCAGAACGGCTACACTCCTCTGCATATTGCGGCTAAAAAGAACCAGATGGAGATCGCCACAGTGCTGCTGCGTTACGGAGCAGAGACTAACATCCTGACCAAGCAGGGGGTCACTCCACTCCATCTGGCCTCCCAGGAGGGTCATGCGGACATGGCCGCTCTGCTAATAACCAAAGGAGCTCAAATCAACGTTCCCACCAAGGTACTGTGGAAACTCACCCAGAGCATGTGATGCATCTTTGCCCTGTTTAGAGATGCTGTTGTTAATAAAGCTACTAATGTGTCCACAATTAGAAATGTCAACAGTAAAAAAGAAAAGGTTCAGACAACAAATGGAATGAAATAAATTTGAATAATGATAATAAACTGTGCACAGTTCCTGTCCTCTGCTTCTGTATCCTGCAGAGTAATGGCTAAAGCTAGATAGTTTGGTATAGGGCACTATCATGCATTGTAAGCTAACAGCGTTAATGTGTGTCTGTGTGTTGCTCCTGCAGAGTGGCCTGACTGCCCTTCATTTGGCAGCTCAGGAGGACAAAGTGGCCGTTGCTGAGATTTTGGCCAGAAACGGTGCCAACCTGGACCAGCAGACCAAGGTCTGAAAAAAGGGTTTTCTTCCCATTAATAACAGTAACAGCTTCTGGTGTTGTTATTCATGGCTTAAAGAAATGTAACTGATCTGTTTTTGCTTCACAGTTGGGCTACACACCGCTGATTGTAGCATGTCACTATGGAAACGCAAAGATGGTCAACTTCCTCCTTCAGAATGGCGCAAGTGTCAATGCCAAGACTAAGGTACTGAAAAGCAGCTGTAGTGTTTTAATGAGAGCTGAACAAACAGGACTCACCTCTGCTGTGCTTTCAGAACGGATACACTCCCCTGCATCAGGCAGCGCAGCAAGGAAACACGCACATCATTAATGTGCTGCTGCAGTACGGTGCCAAACCCAACGCTACCACTGTGGTACGCAAGCACACACACACTAACACGCACGCGCACACATGCACACACACGTATAATGCTTTGCTTTCCTGTGCAGAATGGCAACACAGCTCTGGGAATTGCTCGGAGGCTGGGTTATATTTCTGTGGTGGACACACTGAGGGTTGTGACTGAAGAGATCATCACCACCACCACGGTACGTCACACACACCTGCACACTTCTTAGAGCCTGTCCGAGCTGCGATAGGCCGGCTACACCTTGGACAGCTGGCAGAGAGATAAAACTCTCAGGTTTGGCTTTGACCTGCTGGAGGAAAACAGAGCAGCCAGAGTGAAATTCATGCAGAAAACCTGAAACCTCCACAGACCTGCAGGGTCAGGACCCTTCTGTCCTTTATGAGCCTATCCGGTTGTTCAGTGATGACGCGACAAATCCTACTTCCGGGTCTAAAGTAGTCTGCGTTTAATATGGCTTTTGTGTTGTTAACATGTTTAATGTTATGTATTTTCTTCTATTTGACCTCAAAAAGCTCCTAAAACAGTCAGTGATCACTGTTGACCTCCCTCGGCTTTTATTACCGCTAATCATTTATTTAAGCTCAGTTTTTAAAACCTTAGGATGTAACTACAGCCCAGCCCATGCAGCAGTATATGAATGACTAACCTCGTATTGTGGATGGATTATCTCAGTTGTTCTCCTGGCTGAAGTTTGGTCCTTTTACAGCATCCTGCCATGTGATTACATTTGTTCCTGACCACCGAGAACACTCACGGTAACTTTTATCCAGTGGAAAAAAAGTTAGCTTGTTTAAATTATGCTAACATAGCTGTGTTGCTAGCGTCACGTAGCACATCATTATATACCAGCTAGCCAAACTTCAGTAACCCTACAAACGCCACTGCTGTTTAGTTTTCTGTCTTCATTTATGCTGGAAGTGATAACAGAGCTGTACGTTTGAATTTGTTTCCAAAACCCCGCAGTCAGGACATGCTATATTGTATTTAGATAGAAGCTAGCGAGCTAACTTCCTGCTACCTCCGTTAAATGTCATAAATTCCGTTTTCATGGATGCCTGGATGTTAAACTCAATTGTTACACCTGTTAGAGCGGAGTTTAGGCCCAGACACGGCTAGTGACGTCAGACTTAACAACCGGATCAAGCTACCCACGACACACACCTCCCTACATCTTTTACATTTAGAAATTCACATAACTTTGTAGTCTTCATAAAAACAATGCATTTCTTTATCTGTCCACTATAACGCATCACTTTGGCGTAATAATACAACACTGGCTGAGATATATGAGAGCACACAGTAAAAATGATACGTGCCATTACATCAGTACAAATCTCTGTTTTTTCAAAATGACCACACGGTTGAATTAAGACAACAAAGCTAACTGCTCTGCATCAAACTGTACTATCTGGCTTTGCCTAATAAACTTACTGTCGTGTTTTTAACGGGCTCTGTTTGCTCTGATCTGGCAGACGGTGACGGAGAAACACAAGCTGAATGTGCCAGAGACCATGACCGAAGTACTCGATGTGTCAGATGAAGAGGGTAAGTTGCAGCTACAGCGTGAGCCTGCAGCCCACTCCCCAATGAAGAGAGCCACCTCGGGTCCTGCAGCCATGAGTTCATTTATCATACATTTAAGTTGGAAAACCTCCATCAGTTAATCCATTTCCATTTAATCTTTATAGCCTGCACACATTTGCTTCTTTGTTGGCATCTGTAGCCACTGTACTGGTTGTAACATGTAGCAGATAAAATGATGATACTGAGATCAGACGAGAACGTTGGACCTTTCTGTTCGTCCCTCTTTGTGGCTTCAAATGATTTTTACCAATCAGCCTGTGACTGTGCTGTTTACCTACAGCATGGGAAACCACTGATGATGATGTCATGTCAGACGACTCCATGGATGAGGAAGGTAGTCAGCATGAGGGTGTGTGTGCAGGTTTGCTGTAGGAGTGAAGGCATGGTGAATACGCCTGGACTGTACTAACTCTTCCAGAGGTCCAATCAAGTCGTTCAAGAGTAACAAGTGTTCACTGTGTGTTGGCTACAGACTTCAACTAATTATGTACTTTATAACATCATGAATGAATAATTTCTTCTTCACGGCACCTGTTAGCGGGTGAGATTTACCAGGGAGCATGTGAACGTGAACCTCAGAGGCAATGTGTTACGAGCAGGAATGGACAGAGCATCTCCAAACTGCCGTTTGTTTGGGGTGTTCCCGGGCTGTAGTGATCAGTATCCATCAAAACTGGTCCGTGGAAGTGACAGTGGTGAACCAGCAGGGTCATGGACGGCTCACTGGTGCATGATACTGCAGCTCAGGCTGCTAAGAAGGTTGTTGCTGGTTATGTCAGAATACACAGTGCATCAGTTTGTCGTGTACAGGGGTGCACAGAGCAGTCAGGGTGCCCACTGACCTCAGTGCACCACCGAAACAAAGCAAAAAGGCTTCAGCAATGAGTTTGAGGTGTGGATCTGTTGCTAACAGCACAGAGAGTCCATGGCTGGATGCAACAGGAGGATGTTAGGAAGTTCTAATGTTATGGCACATCAGTATAGGAATTTGCATGGAGGAAATCACGCTAAGCTTAGATACTCCCGAGGTCTCCACTAAGCTTTGGGCTCCACGACTCCAACCATCAGGCCTATGATGTTGTTTTAAATGATGTCATATTGTCATGGACCAGTATATAAAACAAGGGAACACTCTTGTATCATGTTCAGTTGTAAACATGAGGAGCACAGCAATGACTCCAGCTCGGCTCGTTTCCATTCAGCTGTAGCTACGAACACAGTGTACACATGTAGGTGGGATCAGCATCAGTACAGCTGAGTCCCGTTCAAAGCTTTAACTGTCCTTTAAGCCCTTAATTCATTCTCCTGCTGCTGTGCCTGCTTGTGTCACCGTTCTGGCTCAGCCTGACCCAGGATTTTGAGTTATGTTTTGGTGTGTTTTTGCATTTTGGATTCTTTCCTTATTATGATGCTGATGATTATGAATCTATGTTTCAGTTCTTCTTGTTCAGGGATTCGTTCGTAGGTTTTGTGTTCTCGTGTTTATTGCAGGTTTAGTTCTGTCTCTGTGTCGTGTCTGCGTCTTTGTTTAGTGCTGTCTTGTTTCCTGTTTTACTCTGAAGGTTCATGTTCCTGTCTTATGTCAGTGTTTCTCGCTGTGTCCCCTTCTGTTCTAATTCCTTGATGACTTCCTCGGTGTATTTTAGCCCAGTGTGTCTTCGTTCAGTGTCGCGTCGTCTGTTCATGCGCCCTGTTATTTCTAGCTGCACGTCATGATTCTAGTCTGCAAGAGTCGGTATTGGACATGTTCATAGTCACTTTCTCCAGTCATGTTTGCCTGCACCTTCATGTGCCAGTACCGAGATCTCGTTCACAGTTTCTCATGTCGTGTTCACAGTCTGTCCGCAGTACTTCGTCATAGTTCAGTCCTGGTCTTCGTTCATAGCCTTAGTTACTCCCAGTTTAGGTTTTTACTTTTGTCATTCCCATAGTTTATGGTTTGTTGTTTTGCCTTCTGTATCAGCCCTGATTAAAGGTTCGCTTTGAGCTTAGCACAAGTTTTGCCTCCTGCGTCTGTGTCCGCACCTGGGTCCACCAAACACACTCTCCACACGGTCTGCCCGATATTGAGTACTTAATATAAACGCGATTTAAATTTACAGGTAACAGCTTTAGTCCTACAATTTAACAAAAAACAAACAAACAAGGGACTAGTTTGGAATTAAGAACATTTATTTAAAATGAAAAGCATGTTGTATGCAACATATTACAGAATAAGTAATTATAAAAAAACAAAATTTAATTTTAAATTTGTTCGTCTGTGCCTCGGTATCGGGGACTTTTAACGAGTACGAGTACTTTAGAAAATGTGGTATCGATATCGGTATCGGTGCATCCCTAGCTGACACTGCTCTGGCAGTTGTGACTATACAAAGGGAACGTGGAGAGAGTGAGAGACTGTTGTTAGCACCCATCCCATGCCAACATGTCAGCAAAAAAGATTGTTTTACACTTGGATAATGTTAGCCAGTGGCTTGCATGAATTTGGAAAGATGTTGCATATTAAAAAATAATAATATTATTGATTTGTCTTTTTAAAATTGCAAACCAGAGTTATTCTAAATGTAAAGTATGACTTAAAACCTGTTTGCATGACAGTAACGCTGCACAGCTGTAGCTCATTACTAACAGGAACATCAGCGGTTCGATTCCGGCTCCTCCAGCTGTTATCGTGTTATCACCAAGGCTTCAGCATTTCAGTGAGCCTGGCAGCTCAGAGACAGCGAAACGTAAAAATAAAGCGCTTTGTGAATGTGCACATGGGTGAAATATGCTCAGTATAAATATACTTATAAGTGCCAATCCATCTGTATGTCTGTTATAATACATGAACACAGTCAGAGGGTTGACTCCACTAATCGCCTGCACACAGTCATGCTGAACATCTGCGTCCTGCAGCCAACAGCGATGCTGAGCCCTGCTGTGCAGTAGTGGAACAGTAATAGTGCTAAATCACTGTTATGCAGTTAGCATAAGCCTTACAGTTGCTTTGCACAGTCCTCAATCGAAGCATGAGAATACAGTAGAATATAGAGATGCTGTAGCGAGAAGCTGTGAAGTGCACGTCAGTGCAGCCACTAAACTGTGAAAGGTTTTCTTAACTAGAGACACAAAAGTGACGACGCGTTGAGATTTCCTGTACAGCAGCCCTGTGTTTCTTGTTCATGAGCCACATCAATGTCTGTTTTCCACTTTCAGCCAGATGTTCAAATGTCCTGTTTGTAGAGTAACTGGCTGTGATGTTTCCACCTGTGAACATCAAAACCAAAACAAGCACAATTACAGATTTGTTGACTTGTGTCCAAAATATTTCTAACAATATCCCAACATCAAGGTGCGTCACTGCGTTTTCTCATCAGTGGTTGGTTATAGTTGTGGTTTTTCATTGATAGTTTCATTTCTGCTTCTCAAGGTGACGACACGATGACAGGCGACGGAGGGGAGTATCTGAGGCCTGAGGATCTGCGGGAGCTGGGAGATGACTCCCTGCCAGGACAGTACCTGGATGGGATGAACTACCTGCGCTTCAGCCTGGAGGGAGGACGAACCGACAGGTGCATCAAACTCTGCAAAAGCTAAAGACAGAGACAAACTCGCTGTGAAACATATTCCTGAATGAAATGATTCATGCACAGTTGTTGCATATGTTCTCTATACCGCTTTACAAGCTGCAGCTCACACAGCTGTTTCAATAACACACTCTTTTCCCTTTTATGACATTTTATGTAACCTACTTGTGCATTTCTTCCCTTCCCACCCTCTTTACTCACATTGGCTCCGCCCCATTCAGTGTATGCACAAACAGCTAACAGCCTGTATGTTTTGTGTCTGTTTGCAACCTCTCCTCTTCACACTTCACGGTCTGCCTTTTCATACCTACATAATCGAATGCAAAGGTATGTGCTGACTCCATCCACGTATCTGGACTTCTAAGTCTTCAAGTTTATTCATTTATATAGCACTTTCAAAAACAACAGTTGTTGACCAAAGTACTGCACAATAACACAGTCATACCAGAGAAAACAGAATAGAGATTAAGAGAAAATAGAATCATGGAAAGAACAATAGAAACAGACTCATCTTGACTTAAAAGCCAGAGAGTAAAAGTGGTGTTTGGACGGGTTTGACAGTCTCCAGTGTTGGAGAGGTCCTGACATGCAGGAGCAATGAGCTCCATAACTTAGGAGCGGTCACGGCAAATGCCCGGGCTCTGTGTTTTAACCTCAACCTTGGGACTTGGGATCTTGGGGGAGAATATCGGGTTAGGAAATCAGGGAGATATATATGTAACGTCTTAAAAACAAGTGTTAAAATGAATTCAAAAGCTGACTGGCACGCAGTGTACTGATGCAAGTATGGCAGATGTGTGATCCCAGTTAGGAGCCGTGCTGCAGCGTTTTGGACTAGCTGCAGTCGGCCAATTGATGTAGAGGTAATACCAGAGTAGAGGCTATTACGGAAGTCGAGACGAGATGAAGGCAGGGATCACTTTCTCAAAATCTCTGAAACAGAGGAAAGGCTTTTGCAAGGAGGCGGAGATGAAAGAAGCCAGCCTTGATTATGTTATTTATATGTTTGTCCTAAATTTCTTGCAGAGGATTTTTTATAGATCTCGAGAGGGCCGAGGTGAAGAGGGTCACAAGCACCGAAAACAATGACCTCAGTTTTCTGCTCATTTAGGTTGAGAAAATGTAGCGCCATCCATGCCTTAACGTCTTCCAGACAATCAAACAGACCCTTCAGGGGATTCACCGATTTTCATCTCAGGGGAACGTAAATCTGAGAGTCATCTGTGTAGCAATGGAACGAGAGGCCATATTTATTTAAAACTGAGCCCATTGGAAGCATGTCGATTGAAAAAAGGACAGAGCCCTGGGGGACCCCACAGGAAAGCACGGTCTTTGGTGATAATGAGTCTCTGAGATTAACAGAGAAGGTTCGATTAGATAAGAAGGATTTAAACCATTCCACAACAATCCCTTTTATTCCAACGTGTTGTTCCAGTCTAGAGATGAAGGCTGGGATCTACTCTATCAAAAGCAGAACTGATAATAGAGAGTAACTCTGCTGCAGCTTTGGACCCACAGCTCAAACCCAGGTTGCTTTAAGCACATGAAGAGCTTTGTATTCCCGTTGGTGCTTTATAAAGCTGGGAGAGCACCGGTGACTACACTGGTAAACCACAATCTCATGTCCCTAACGACCACAGGAATCTTGGAGCGGTGGAAAGTTAGGAACGTGTTGACATGCACACATGGTGTTCGTGCTCCCTGAGCTTGGCTCGGCCTTCCAGCCGTATGTAATAAACAGATCAGATGCTTTGGCTGCTGCGTTCGTGTGTCCAGCAGCGCTGCTGTTAAACCAACACTTTAGGTACAGTTTTAGCTTTTGAACATGCTGTTCACGACGTAATTGCTGGACATTGATCCCGACCAGAACAGAACTTTAAAGATTATGAATTTCCTGCCGTGCTGGGTTGATATCATGGGCTTCACAGGTTTCATGCTTGTGTTTTTCCTGTGTGCTTCAGTTCAGACAGGTCCTTCACGCCCACTCACCACAGCTACTACTCTTCTAAACATGAAGGCATGATGGAGGAGATGCTCACCAGTCACCAGGTACGCCGCATCATCACACAGATCACTAATTCTGTGCATTTTTTAATGTTTATTGATAAGATTTTAAGTTCAAAGTTACATAACGTCAAACCAAACACACAACAACAAAAACACAAACAGGAAAGAAAAGGAAAAAAATAAAAGAAAAAATACACCAGTTAGCCAGTACAAATCAAAAGTTCAAAAGAAACACCAGTGTCCAAAGAAGATGATCTTCTGTGTGAGGTTAGACAGGGCAACAGAGAGTTCACCAAGTCCAGAAGATGTGGGAAACATGTCCAGGAAGGAATCAGGGTTTCACACAAACACAAAGTGCAGTCAAATGGGTTAAAGTTTATGTTAAATTCCATTAATATGATCGAGAAAAGGGCCCCAGATTTCGACAAACTTAAAATGGGTGTCAGCCAAACGATAGCAAACCTCTTCAATCATCTCACGTAGCCAAACCCTGAACAATGGAGGAGATGGTGATTTCTAGGCTCTAAGAACAAGTCTTCTAGCTACAATCATGCCAAACATTAAGGCTTTCTGAAGAGGACGTCTGAGTGCCAATGAGGTTAGGGAGCCTAGCACTGCAAGTACACCATCCGGCTCTAATTTTAAATCATAAATATATATTAAATATCTCTGCCCAGAAACTCCCGAGTGTGGGGCAAGACCAGAAAAGGTGACCAAGGGTTCCCTCCATTGCTTTGCATCTGTCACACAAAGACCAAATAGACGGAAAACTGCTGCATAGATTTGTTTTAGAAAAATGCAGACGATGAAGGACCTTGAACTGTATAAGTTGTAGTCTGGCATTAACAGAGTGTTCTTTAATCTTTTTCAACCCATTGGCCCACAAAGCATCCGATATGTCCACTTCCAAGTCCTTAACCCAAGCGTCCTTGATGTGGTTAGTAGGTGGTATACGTGTAAAAAGTGTAGTAAATTATTCTGTGCATTCTTAAAACGCTGCCGTGGGACGATGTTAACCTAAAGGTTAGGAATTATGACGCTCAGGCTGTGGCTGTGGACTGTACTGTTAACCACTCTGAAGTGCTTTGATTCTCAGCTACTTCAGTCTGCACATCAATCTGTGAGTAAGATGTTGTGTGAGGATGTTTAGCACCTGGAGGAATTAGAGTTAGAGCAGAGGAGTTCTGTGTAAGCACCATTTATCCAGCCTGGAGGCGGTGTTGCCTTGCAGCAACCATCTGACCCTTTCTGTGTGGAGTTTGCATGCTCCTCTTGTGTCTTCCTGGGTTCTCTTGGGTACTCTGGCTTCCTCCCACACTCCAAAGACATGCAGTTAGTGGGTTGGCTTCACTGGTGAATCTAAACTGTTTGTATGTGAGTACGATAAAGACGAGGATGGATCAATGAAAGAAGGGCTGAGCGAGCCTGATTTCTGTTTGTCAGACTTAACACATCTGAGCTCTCAGGATTCAGCCTTAGAAGGGCTGCAACCCCACCCGACCCACTCCTCCACCCACGGTCCTGCTGTTTTTATGGGGATTATGTTTCTGTCAAATTCAGGAGCAAGTATATCCCATGATCTTCTCAATGCCCTAGATGACTGGTCTCTGATAAGAGGTTTGTTTCGTTCCAGGTTTCATCCCTTGCCAGGGAGACTGAGAGGGATTCGTACCGGTTGAGCTGGGGCACAGAGAACCTGGACAACGTGGCTTTGTCCTCCAGCCCTGTCCATTCAGGGTAAGCACAGCAGCACTGAAGGAAAGTCGTAAACAGCATTTACACTGTCAGAGTTCTGTGAATAAACTGTTTTCTGTGGATCTTCGTAGATGGAAATCCTGCTGAGCCCTGTTCTTTTCCTTCTGCTCGTTTTTTACACTTGCTGGGATTTCTCCCTCTCTGATTTCTTCTGCCTGACTTGTGATTCCTCTCTGTCTGTTGTGGTTGTTGTTTTAGCCACTCCTCTCCGTGCCATGATCATGGAGACCACAGCAGGTGACCTTCTGCACCTTGGTTGCACCTCATTCCCCTTCATCACCGTCCTTCTCCGCTCAGTGTGCTCTCCCTATGGAGAGGTGTATGTGTTGCACCGTCCTCGACAGACAACATCTCGTGTATATTCCTGTATTCTCAGCCTGAACGTAAATTAAACATAAACTCTCTAAATGATTTTCCAAAGTTGGCATCATGACACTGCAAGTTCAGGAAAGTTTAGATAAGGTTGAAGGTTGAGGACATGTTTGTCGACTTCATTCAGTGTCTCGTGAACTGTGCATTTCTACTAACATGCCACGTGGTGTGGAGACTATTAGAATAAACTTACAGTTTACTCTAATCTCGTCTTCTAACATTAATTTAACAGCTGTTTCAAGTCTGTCGTTGGGTTTTCTAACCTGGTTGTTTGTTTGGCTGAAGCTGAGCCAAGAACCGTCTTTAGTGTCATATCGTCATTTCATCACAGTCGGTCTTTACCCCGCTGGGATGTGTGATCCATACGCATACTTGTGACTGTGCATGGAGAGCGAAGGTCAAACCTGAATGCAGAGCAGCTCTCGTCCATTCAGTGTTGAGAAAACAGAAACCAAAGGTTGAGCGAACGTTAGCTACCATGCTACAATCATAGAGTTGTCCATGGTAATGAGTAGTCTATGTTAAAGTGCAGCTATCCTTTTTTTGTAACATCTCTATTTGAAGATTAAACATAATAAAGAAAATGCATTGTTCTGGTCTGCTGTTTCCACGAGCATAGATTGGCTAATGCTACGTGATGTGAGCTAGCTTAAGTTTACTATTACTGACCTCGCTGAATCAGTTCACTAAAGTTAAGACTATGCTATAGTTGTGCTGTTGTTGCTTCACGGTCTAAGATAGATAAGCTCACTTAGAAAAAACCATAAATACATATAGTTCATGAAGAAAGTGTGTTTGCTTCTTTAGAGAAGGAAAGTTTGATGAACAAAAGTGTCCCAGGCCAACACGCCGACAGGATCTTCCTTAGTCCTCATATCTCGTGCTTTCTTGAGTCTTAACGGGGCCTTCTTGATTTTGAGATACGTAGTTAACGACTTAACTGTTGCTTGTGTTCAAAAACTCGAGCAAGTAAACAGCGGTGGTCCTTCGTGTAAGTGTGCATCTTACAAACTGTTCAAACCAAACAAAGCTTTGCCGTCTGCTTTCTCACCACTTAATGGAGCTGAATTAGACTGAACCGGACAATATTGGCGTCTCATTCGTGCATGTATCTCCTGCTTCCTCTCAGCTTCCTGGTCAGCTTCATGGTAGACGCCAGGGGCGGAGCCATGCGCGGCTGTCGACACAACGGCCTCCGCATCATCATCCCGCCGAGGAAGTGCAGCGCCCCGACGAGAGTGACGTGCCGACTGGTGAAGAGGCACCGTCTGGCCACCATGCCCCCGATGGTTGAGGGGGAGGGTCTGGCCAGCAGGCTCATCGAGGTGGGACCCTCTGGAGCCCAGTTCCTTGGGTAAGACAGGACTAATGATTGTAGAAGCTTCTGGATGTGTGGAGGTTAACACTTAAAGTCTATTTATGTCAACAACAGTTGCCTCAAGGCGCCTTACACATACACATGATATAATATTATTTGCTAGTAGCTTTGAATGTTTTATGGCAATAAGTTTCCAGGCAGGACGAAAAGTGCTTCTTTCCTTTGAACATCTATCCTGTTATTAATTTGTATCCCGTATAAATGCAAAGGTTACAAAGTGCTGCCCTTTTCTTTCAGATTAATTTGCCAGCCTCTGCCTGACTCAGACTGTCTCTGTATTTGCTCTCGCTTCCTCCCAGTGCCAGCGGTCTGCCAGCATGGCCTGTTTACTTTCATAACAGCTGCAGCGCGACTCTTTCTAACCTTTCTCCCTAACACTTGATGAAACAGCTTTTCTTATTAACTCCAGCTGCAGTGTCTCGCACCATGATTGGTTTGATATGTGGACTGAAACTCTGCCCTCTGCTGGTAACGTTTGAGATGGTCACAGTTACAGATTTGCTGCAGACGACAGAAGTTTTTGCTGTGATGTGAAATGTTTCTGCAGCTCTGCAGTGAAACTAGCCCCACACGGCCACAATGATGAGCTCATTTCAAATAAACAGATTTAATTTGAATAAAAATGCAGAATAATAGTCTAACAGATTCAAACTGGCTTTATCAGAGGACTTCTTCAGTGACCAACACAGTGTGTGTTATGGAAATGCAAAGAACTACAAAGTCAGTCTTCTTTATTATGAAAAGAAGGACTTGAGTATAAATATAAGCGCAGCTTTGGGGTAAATGTTGTATGTTTTTATTTGTCATTTCTTCGTGATGCTCTATTGGACGTCCTGACTGTGCAGCTAAGAGAAAATCGGCGCTCAACCCAAACATTGTGTGTGCTCTTTCTTCCTCACTGCTGCATATGGACGCTCGGTCAATCACAGTAAACTCCACCTCCCCAGTGCCCCCCACCTCTAAATGAGGGAGAGAGTTTGGTTACCCGAATCCTCCAGCTTGGTCCACCGGGGACCAGATTTCTTGGGTAGGGTGGAAACCAGTCTGTGGTTTTGCATATGAAACAATCCATGGATGCCAGTTTCTTTGTTACTGTGCTGTCGTGTTTGTGCTAATGCTGCATAATCCACTTCATTTAGTGTCCGTGCTTCCAGCCACTGCTTGTCACTTCTCTCCTTCCTGCTTTGCCGTTTCCCTTTTCTTTCTTCTCATTCTCGGGGGAAGATTTGTCTCTCACTTATGTGTGAAATTTAAATGGTTGTGTGGCCTGTAAGTCGAAGGGAAGCAGGAGAATATGAGTGCACGCTTCAGCGATCGGCTCTGTATGGTTTTTATTTCGAGTTTATAAGAAATCACATGGTGTCACCAGGCAATATTTGGCCTTTTCACTATATTTTAAATTGATGTGTTTCTCCTGCCTGAGTGGTCAAAGTCATAAAATAACATCAACAGTATTTAGAGTGAAACATAAACAAATACTACAGGCCAGGTAACCATATAAATATCACATAGAAATATGTGTGTCTGTCCCGATGTTGGCCTGCAGGACGCTTCTTGTAGATACTCGTTGTAACTAGTTTGTGATTGTGCTCATCAGGTAAGTGTCAGAGTGACGTTTTCTAACTATTACAAATGGACGACACACTGATCATAAATCAACTTGAATGTTGTGATTCAAGTGAATCCACCTGAGATTTGCTGGTGCAGATGCTTTTATCCAGCACAGCTCTACATGTTTATCTGAGATGCTCTTTATCACCACGTGTCAACACATCAGCTGCAGAAAAAATAAACTGTAATTCACATAGCAGTGAAGCCAGAGCAAGAGGAGCGATACTGTGTCTGAAGCACAGGTACAGTCGGGCTCGTATCCAGATACAAAGATGAACAGTCAAAGAACAGGAGACTTACCTCACTAACCTGTTATATTCCATCACACCACGCGCTTAGTTTTACTTGGACTTACCCAGCGTATCTTGTTCCTCCAGTCCTGTCATTGTGGAGATCCCTCACTTCGCTGCCCTCCGAGGGAAGGAGCGCGAGCTGGTGATTCTGAGGAGCGAAACAGGAGAGAGCTGGAAGGAGCATCACTGTGAACACACTCAAGAGGAGCTCAACCAGATACTCAACGGCATGGACGAGGGTCAGTCTCCGACACTGGCTGACGACACCGCGGCGTCAAACGATAAAGGCCTGATCACGTCTTTTCTGTCTCACCTTCTGCAGAACTGGAAACTCCCGAAGAGCTGGAGAGGAAACGCATTTGCCGTATCATCACTAGAGATTTCCCACAATACTTTGCTGTGGTGTCACGCATCAAGCAAGACAGCAATCTGATTGGTCCTGAAGGAGGCATCCTCAGCAGCACCGTTGTACCACAAGTTCAGGCAGTTTTTCCTGAGGGGGCGCTGACCAAGAGGATCAGGGTTGGACTGCAGGTAAACAGAGTGTGGTTAGCTTTTATATGTTCTCTGTTTTGCTGTCATTGTGTTGTTCTTAATATTCAAAGCTTTAGTTTTAAATCATGGAAACAAAACAGACTCAACCTTCTTAAGTTGCTGTGATTCATGTCGATGTCTTTACTAAATGGACTAGAAAGAGGTGGATAAAGCACATGTGCTGTCTGCGTACAGTTGCCTCACAGCCAGGCTTTCCTCTTGTCTCGCAGGCCCAGCCAGTGAGCATAGATGTCGTGAGGAAGCTCCTGGGGAACAAGGCCAGCTTCAGTCCCATTGTCACTCTGGAGCCGCGCAGGAGGAAATTTCATAAACCCATCACCATGACAATCCCTGTCCCCAAGAGCAACTCCGACCCCGTCCTCAACGGCTTTGGAGGGGACACACCCACCCTACGATTGCTTTGTAGCATCACGGGTTAGAGAAGCCGTAGAAAAGTTCAAATCTTAACGGGTGAAGCTGAGACGCGTCTCCACATTCTAACATTTCATGTCACGCAGGTGGAACAACGCCAGCCCAGTGGGAGGATATAACAGGAACTACTCCGTTAACTTTTATTAATGATTGTGTGTCCTTTACCACCAACGTGTCTGCCAGGTAAACCAGCTGAACCAAATATCAGCCACAGACACCAGCTCGCTCCTAACCCTCTTCTGATTTCTAGGTTCTGGCTCATAGACTGTCGGCAAGTCCAGGAATCGGTCAACTTCTCCACTCAGGTGTATCGGGAAATCATCTGTGTCCCTTACATGGCCAAGTTCGTCATCTTCGCCAAGACCCACGACCCGATTGAGGCCCGATTGCGCTGCTTTTGCATGACTGATGACAAGATTGATAAAACACTGGAACAGCAGGAGAACTTCGCCGAGGTGGCGCGCAGCCGAGATGTAGAGGTGAGAAAGGAGAGCGGAGGGAGTCTAACACCAAGTTATACAAGACAGAGTTCGGAAATGAAACCCCAATAAAATAAAAAACCTTTGAGCGGTCGACTCCAGTCTAAGAAGAAGAAATATCTAAAGAAGGGTGTAAACATGTAAGATGTCAGGCGTGATTATTCCATCATGTATGCATGTGTTACCTTTACTAGGTCCTGGAAGGCAAACCTATCTATGCAGACTGCTTTGGTAACCTTGTTCCCCTCACGAAAAGCGGCCAACATCACCTCTTCAGCTTTTACGCCTTCAAGGAGAACCGGTTAGCACTCTTCATCAAAGTGAGTCATCGTTTATTTCTTCTGAGCAAGTGCTGCAAGTGTCAGCCAATGTTCTTCGTATAACATGGAATCGGTTTAGCAATGAGCAGCTGGCTAACGTTGACCCGCTTGGCTTTGGCAGATCAGAGACAACACTCAGGAGCCGTGTGGCCGCTTGTCATTTATGAAAGAACCCAGGAACTACAGGTCACTTGCACAAAATGCTATATGCAATCTCAACATCACACTTCCATCATACTGCAAGGTAAGGATGGCGCGCCGATGCTGCTGGCGGTCGTGTGTCTTTATGAGTAAAAGCTGCGTGCTGGTTTCAGTAGTTTAAACATGGAAAGTCCTCTGGTTGCTTTAACTCTAGACCGTGTTGCAATAACACATATTATCAATGTTCCCTCTAATGTTTCACGTGTCTGAACACACAAACTCCCTGAGCGTCGCACTGTGAGCAACGGCAGACGTGTGCACTGTGGTCACGCCAGCATCCAAGTTACATGTTTATTAAAGTAATCAAATTACAGCATTTATGTTCGACTACTTTTAATTAACTGCTTTAGTCCACTTACAATGAAAATTTAAACCAAATCTATTTCGTGACCTGTAGCATGTCAACACTATGGAAGTAAAAATAACTTGAACTCCAATTTAAAAAACATTTTCTTTTTTATTTTTATTTATTTATTTTTTTGCTCTGACTGTATTATGAGTCTGTGGTCTGGGAGAGAGTCTGTAACTCTGTCTGCAACATACAGTAAATAATGACCAATGTTGGGCAGTTAATTATATAGTGACTTCTTCAAAAAAGTAACTGAGTTTTGCAAACAAAGTGTTTTGCAGCTGTTTACCTAAAAATGCAGCCAAGGCGTTTTTTTTAAATAAACATTTCAAACTATTTACAGAACAATCAGCTGTTCTGCATCTAATCTGATGCCACACAAATTATTTGTGCCGCTGCAAAAAAATAATTCCTGTCCACTATGAGATGAAGGAGAACAACAGCCTGATACCTGCAGGCCTGACAGCAGCAGATGTGTCACTGCTGTAACACCTGTAACACTCAGCAGGCGCCTCATTGTTCTGACACACAACAACACTACTGACTACACTACACACTAACTACACACTGACTACACACTGACTACACACCAACTACACACTAACTACACACTAACTACACACCGACTACACACTGACTACACACTGACTACACACCAACTACACACCAACTACACACTAACTACACACTGACTACACACCTACTACACACCGACTACAAACTAACTACACACTGACTACACACTGACTACACACTGACTACACACTAACTACACACCGACTACACAAGATTTGTGCTAAACTTGGCAATCTCATCTCAAACACCGCCGTCACTCCTAAAACTTCCCCCTCCCTAAACCACTAAATGTCATGTTGCCATATCATTTTTTGATTGGTCGACATGGTACATTTTTCGACCAATAGGAAAGGCTGAGGGAGGGGGTTTGTTTTTGCTCACAGGCTTTCGAGCGTTTTCCTTATAAAACGCCGTCTTTACCGTTTCTTCCTGCAGTAAATATAAACAACGACAGTATTCAGGAAGGAAACCAAACATTGCAGATATTTTATCATAACTCTGGTTTTACGCGGCCGATCAACACAATTTAAAAACTGGTATAAAGTCCACACTTTGTCCGTCAGTTGTTCCGTCTGTCCTGCTCACGTCTCCAATGATTGTACACGTTGTCATTAACGTGGCTTCACTCCACATCAGCCGCTTTGCTAAAACACCGGCACATAAGGACGCTGTCATAGCCTGTCAGCCACGTTGATTAGCTGCGTATATCTGCGTATATGGCTGGACTACGGGATAAGGTGGCCTCGTTCTGATCCCATACGGGAGCAGCCAGTCACTGACTAACACTGCAGAACAGGATTGTTAAAGTTTTCATTTTAACTTAAGGTTCGATTGTTTTCTGTGTGCAGAGACCTGCCAGCAGTGCACAACTGCACACGCGCAGCTTTGAGGGAACATTGCATATTATGTGCTAATGTCCCACTGATCAACTCCCTCAACTTAAATGAAATCCAAATTATTTTCATATTTGGTGTCCTAAATATAATTCTAAGCACTCAAAGATTAATAGTAACTGTCTTTAACACTGTGGACAGTGTGTGGTGTCATGTTAAAGCCCTGTGAAATATGTTTGTTTTTGCATAAACAGCTGTGGTCAGCAGTGTGCCTGGACTTATCATGGGCGTGAATGTCACGGTCATTTTATGTTCTTGTTCCAAGGTGGATTCATGGCACAAAATACATGTTTAATGGCTTTAAATAAGAAGGTTCCTTTAGCTTTTCTTTAATCCACAGAGAGACTAAACTGTGCATACAGACTGAAATATATGAGTGTGCTGCTGAAGGCTCTGCAGTCAGAGTGATGTAGGCTCTAAGCCTAAAACAGATACTACATGTGAAGAAAGGTTTTAGTTATAATATCCCCTCACCCTTTAACAGAATTAAATCTAACTGAATAAAATGTGTGTAGTTGGTAAACGAACTAAAACAGCATGAAATTGTAAATATTCTGTGTTCATTTATGGTATGATTTGGTGCTGTACAACACAGGGTTTCTACAACCCCGTCGGGGAACTGGTTTAAAAAGGTTGTGTTTATATTGTAACCCCTATACTGATTTTCATACATCTTACTCTAGTGTTTGTCATAAATAAAATAATAAGTAATAAAGACTAACACGGAAACTAAATAAACAAAAAAGAAACATTTTCAAACAAAACAAAGGCACAAACCCGCCCTCCAAACTAACTCGCACTAAG